CTGAATGCCAAGGTTGGCATGGACAACACTGGATATGAAGACATCATGGGACGACATGGACTGGGAGAAAGGAACGAAAACGGTGAGAGATTTGCAAACATATGTGCCTTCAACAAACTGGTCATAGGCGGCACCATATTCCCACATAAATGCATACAGAAAAAAACCTACATGGATTTCACCGGACCACACTACTCACAATCAAATAGACCATATCTGTATCAATAAAATTTCAGAAGGACGATCGAGGACGTGAGAATCAATAGAGGAGCTGACAAAGCTTCAGATCACAACTTGCTGATCGCTAAAATGAGACTGAAACTCAAGAAACACTGGGCTACGGGGCAGACAACATCACAAAATTTTAATACAGCCTTTCTTCGGGATACTGTAAAGCTCAACGAATTCAAGATAGCCCTCTCCAATAAGTTCCAGGCCTTTTAGGATCTACTCAATGGAGAGGAAGCAACATTTGAGAACAATTGGAAAGGGATCAAGGAGGCAATCACTTCAACATTTCAAGAAGTTCTGGGTCTCAGGAAGTACCATCACAAGGAATGGATCTCTGCTGGTACTCTTGAAAAAATTGAAGAAAGGAGGGACAAGAAGGAAGAAATCAATGTCAGCCGAACAAGAGCAGAGAAAGTTACAGCACAAGCTTCATACACAGAAGCAAAAGGAGAAGTGAAGAAGAGCATCAGAGCTTACAAACGAAAATATGTGGAAGATCTAGCAATGACGGCGGGAAAGGCTGCAAGAGACAATTGCACGAAACAACAAAGAAGCTCGCCGGGAACTATCGTAAACCAGAACGACCAGTGAAAAGCAAGGAAGGCAAAGTAAACAGCAACACTGAAGAACAGCGAAGTAGGTGGGTAGAGCACTTTTAGGAACTCTTGAATTGACCAGCTCCCCTAAACACACCTAACATCGAAGCAGCATCCATGGACCTCCAGATTGATTTTGGGGCACCTACAATTGAAGAGATCAGTACGGCCATCAGGCAAACCAAGAGTGGCAAAGAAGCAGGACCAGACAACATTCCAGCAGAGGCAATGAAAGCAGACATGGAAGCATCGGTGAAAGTATTTCACATCCTCTTCAAGAAGATTTGGGATGAGGAACAAGTACCATCAGAAAACTGGTCGGCGGCCTATGCTCCGAAAGTAAGTATCGCTACATTCTGATGTAAAACCCCTAAATCCCCATAATGTGTGAAGACTCGACAAAGCATCGACAGAGTGAATTTACGATAACGCTAGTTAGGGACCACGGAAATGAAAATCATCACCTTACCAAGTATTTGTATAATGCAAGAGAGCATATTTACTGAATGCATTCCTAATAGCATGATTTATATCGGATGAATAACAAAGGATTCGTAATTATGCATTTTTCATAATCAAGAACGTATAGGAAGTATTTTCCGACATATCCGAATCTACGATACCTGGACATCTTGAGACTGTGTGCCGCCCATCATCTCACACTCTAATGTCTTATTAGCCTAGAATATCCTTTTTATAACTCTGATATTCTCAAGTTTGTCCAAGACAAACCCTAGCACACAACTGGAATGAAATCCATTTTTCCCAATGGAAATATTACTTTCTAGATAGAACTTTCTATTTCAGCATATATATGTAGTAGAACTAGTAGTGTGGTGCGAGCTACTTATAAGTAGTATATGACGTGAGTGTCAACATAATGTCTGGCAGCAGAAGATTGGGGAAAATCAAGAAAGGAAGAGTTAGAACATAATGGAATTTGTATGAAACGCATGATGAATAGTGACAATGGATTGATATTTTGCAACAGGAACAGTCCAGTTCGATAGGATGAACTGATATTTTGCAAATTAACAATTTACGATATGGTTTCCCCATTTTACTGAGTAACTCTGTAATTTTCGTTAAATACAATTCGGTTGCCCCACCTGTGTTCTCGTTCACTACACTAGTAGAGTAGTAATAGAATTAGTAGTACATTGCTAATTTTTAACAATCAAAAGAAAGAATGCAACTGGGTTGGTTTATAGTATAATTCTATATTATAAAATCATCACTAAATTAAGGTTGCAGAATATCTTCATTAATTAATTAGTTAATTAATTGATTCAATCACATACTTACTCTTTACCCAATGATCATCTCACAAAATAATTTACGCAGTATATAAATGATTGAAATTTCTTTTAATTAACACAAAACAGATAAACGAAACAGAAAAACAAAACACAATTATAACTGACCATTGTGTATGGATGGCATAATAAAAGAAGTATGTTTGTGTACTTGACAAATTGTTCCACTCTGAAGAGACAAACACTACTATATTAGCACACACAACAAGTTAAGTAGATTTTCATGAAGATAGTAAGTAGTATGCAAAATTAGAAAAGCTCATAATAATACTGTACTGTATTAGAGTAGAGAGAAAAAAATTAGCAGTCAACTATGTATAAACATACGTACATATATAAATATATAAATATCATAATAATAACAATAATAACAAGTTGGAATTTTTAGAGTAGAAAGAAAAGAACAGCCTAAAAAAAAACAAGAATAAACACCTGAAAAGTATACAATACCGACAAAAACAAATTAAAAAAAACATGAAAATATAACAATAATAATAATAATAGTTATATCAAAATTAACTTACAAAATGATGATATACTGTAAAACAAGACTAATTTAGTAGTAATAGGCAATCAATGATAGGAAGCGATAGAACAATTTAGAAAAAAAGAGAATTCCATATAAATATATAAATATATATATGTATATATAACCTATTCTATGGAATGCAAGACAGAAATATTTAAAGGAATGTTCCATTTTTTTTCTAAAGAACAAAGTAGAAATGAAAGAATATAATGATAATTATTATTATCTGTAAAATATTAAATAAAAAAGGAAAGAAAAAAGTATGTAGAGAAATTTATGATTCAGCTTCTAAGCCTGTGGTATGGGATGAATCATTGAGTTTTAAAAATTCCAGCAACATTTCATTTTCATTAGCTTGCATAAATTCATCATAATCCTATTGGGGAAATTAATAGAAAAAACAAAATGAAAAGGTTATCGATAGGTCAGGTTATTTGTTCAATGATATGGTACAGCTGAATTAAATGTTTATTCAGTTTAAACTATATAGAATTTTCTAAAAGGGGAATATTTCACAATGGTTTATACTTTTTTAAGTGATGATTAGGGTTCAGAACCGGTGGTCATAATCGAGTATATGCATTGCTTGTGAGACTGCAACTAAGAGTGGGGAGAGCTCATCCTCCTGGGAATGCTCTCATACGACCACATGTATATGGCTACTGTCAAAGAAGTCCTACTCACTGCATTTTCATGACAGAAGTTTTGTGAAATTCAGGATAAAAAAGTATGTCCGGCACTGAGCATGGAGGATCCACCTACGGGAGTTGGAAACTATGATTCCAAACCAATGGTGCACACATGCTACATACATTTGTGTTAGATCCCATATACATAATGAGTAAACAACTAGGTCATAGCTCTTTTCGTAATAAAGTGTAAAGTTATTATATTGTTTAGAGAGTACCAAGGATCCTACGCAGCTGCATAGAACCAATTAGATAGTTCTGGAACCCATTAGTCATTATTCGCGTAATTAGGTAGAACATTAAAAGCTTAGCATATGAGGTCAGATTTGTTTCGGGATATCCTAATGCAATCATATTAACACTAAATAATTTACAAGAATCTAAAACTGTAAGAAGATTCTAAATATGAAATCAGGTGTAACTACACATACATTTGGATCATAAGTCTAGTTCATGATTTGATATATTATCTGTAAAGATATTGGAATGAATATCTTCTCACCACCAGATATGTTTAATAAGATGAACTAAACGTGAGATTGTAGTTGCCTGTCATGAATAATGGAGATTTCAATTATAATTGTGGAAGGACAGGTCAGTCAGTCAGTTACAACGTAGAACTTTGTACATAAGTACATCAGTTCAAGTTGCCATGCCACATTAGCACAGAGATATAATTGTTAATTCAAATCCCATAGTAGTAAAAGTATTAGCAGTAATCGGAGATTAGGGTTCGAAGATATTGTTCAAGAAGTATAATTCAGAGAAAGACAGAGATGGTGAGGAATTCAGAAGGTTATAGCTGCTAACTTGACGTGGTGGTTGGGATTGCCTATCATGATGACCCAATCAATACAACTAGTGGTAGTTAATCTTACTCAATGAATAAATTGCTAAGTGACATACACAGGTTTTGTTTACCGTTTACATGCCTTTATAATCGCCAACAAGTCTCAAAGAAGCTGAAGACCCGATGCATTCAGTATCGACAAACATGTTTCACTCCTACTTGGCCACGTTTTGTATGTCAATTAAACATGTGACGAGAACGTGGTATCCACTGCAATGGTGCCGAATGTCAGCAACGCCATGCTCACCGTTACAAAACTAAAGACTTAGCAAAACATTGTTAAGTGGGAGTGGTTCATGTTTGTCGATAGTGAAGGTATTAGGTTTTCAGCTATTGTGAGATTTGTTGGTGCTCGTAAAGAAGTACAACTAAAAGCTACAAGTAGTTTAATAACTAGACAATTTTCATTATCCGTAACTACAATACCGCTATGTAGTAGGTAATTGTAAAAATATTCATTTTAATGTGATTAAATATGGTTTGCCTGAATTCTTGAGTTGCTGAAGATTAGAATTTCGTAAGTCCTTATTTATCATAATAAAGTCTTGATACATTAGGCTTACAGACTTCAACTCACACTAATCGAATGACAAAAAATAACCCAATCAAAATGAGATCATATCTCTTTGAATGAATTAAAAGGATGATAATAACCGCAAAATCACTGGAGAATACAGTTCACATGAGAATATAGAAAAGTAGACTTTACATCTCTTGAGAATATCGTGAAGTTTCAGCACATCACAATCATACACAGTTCACCATCACAGTTTAAGTTGCTTTTAATCCCCAGAATCTCAGTTAAATTAAAATATTCCAATATATGATAGTTTTGAAAGAGATATCATAAAATCTTGGATAATGTATGGTGGGATGTTGGTTTCTCAGCCCATACAACACACTTCCAGTGTCGACAAATGACACTCGATAGCCAGTACTAATACAGATAAGAATTCATAGACATTAATTAACGTAAAACAATTTATTGTGGAAGCAAAACAAACACTTCTTTTGTTTTACAGATTTCATTTAAGTATTTTGCATCTCCCGAGTCATGTCAGATCTACAGATCCCTGACAAAGAGTGAAAGTCGATTTCAAAAACAAAGGAGTAGAAGTTGGCGTTGTAGTTAGAAGAAAGTGAAATCTAGTTTTCAGCTAACAATCTGTATTATGTAACTTGGTTAATATGTCCGATTTCCGAAGCTTTCTGAACCATCTCCAAACTGCCTCGAAGTGTCCTAATATGTGGCTACTATAAAAGTAGCAATGTGAACAAAGTATGTAGATCTGGTAGGGTGAGAGTAAGTGACTGAAATGCTTACGGATTTCTTTTAACTTCAAAATATGATGATAGACTTTTAGTAAAAAAAATGAAAAGGCACACAGAAAGACCGGCTTGAGCATACCCCCAGATATTCTGATCCGAGAAATAGTTGAGGGGCAATTGGTGTTTTTCCATTTTCTTTGAGGATCTTACACATGAACTGTTTGTCCGTCTCTGAGGAGGATATATCTTTAACTTCGAAGGGTATTTTCGCAGCAGTGAGTCTGTTTATTATATACTGTTGTCTGCTTTTGACCTAAAATTTCACCATTAGTAATATATGCAGGGATTACGTTTGTGTTGCCTGAGGTTGATGATATATATAAATCCACAATCATGACTTTTTAGTTTCACTACTCCGCCAAACAAACAAATACAACCTTGTGCTTATTACTACATGTTGCCATCCAATATTCAATATGATTTTCACGAGCTATTATAAACCAGCTGATTTCTTTGAGCTCCATTCTTGTTCTTTCGGTACGGTTGCAGGTGCTTGTTGGAGTTCAATGGATGGTAGTCTAGCTAGTCAAGTGCAATAATTCTAGTCAGTTGGCAGTTGTTTTTGAGCTTGTGTCCCGTTATTTGAATGAAAACCTTTGTTTCAGGGCTGTAGGGTTTCTGGATACCAGCAACTATCATATTACCAGACAGGAGGTCAGTTAGTTGAAACGTGGAGAATAACAAGGAGAACATTCTCATACTAATAAGAAGATTCCAGAACTAAGTAATTCAGTAGATAATTTAGTTTATTAATTGAAAGTGAAGATTGTGAGAGAGGACCGAAGTGTAAGCAAGAGAGAGAAAACAGGGATAATAGGGGAGATAGATTAAGTAAGTGATCTGTGTGGATGGCAATAATAACTACTAGCATGTCTCAAAGCATGCATAAGGAATCCAATGTCCAATATGTTTTTCATGAGCTATTATAAACCATTCGTATTTCCTTGCGCTCGATTCTTGCTCTTTTGAAACAGCTCAAGATATTTGACAGTTATCAATGGATGGTAGTCGCCTGTTAGCCCCCATAGACGGTAGGCCAACGATTAGATTTCTTCAACCTACTCTGTCCTAATTCCTCTTTACCAGTTCTGTCCAATGGTTGTTCATCCTTGTAATGTCCATCTTTATTTTTAGACGTAATGTTCCTTTTCCTCCCTTTTTTCCGTCGACAATGCCGGTTTCAAGTGAGAGCTTGTCTTGTGACGCAGTTGGATGCTTTCTGCAACGTGTGCCCTATCCATTTCGAGCGCTTCCTCCCTCACTAGATTCTGGTCTGCTCTTTCCCACAGTAGTTTATTAATGTTGGTGTCCGGCCAAAGGGTCCGAAGTATTCTGCATAGACAACTTGTAAGGAACACTTGTTACGTCCAGTTTTTTGCTCGTTGATCTTACGAAGCACTGTTGTCGTCTATTTGTAATTCACGGTCCCAAATTTCTATGCCAAGAACGAAACTCCAAAGTAGATACCAAAGTTTATTCCAAATCACAAATTCGACCAAAATATTTTATTACAAATAGACGACCAATGTCGTTCTCCTAATTTATTATCTCTTGGAGCAAAAAACTGCAACGAACAACAAAGAGAAACGGGAGTCCAATATGTCCGCAAATAATAATTCAAACAAGTTCACAAGTTAAGTAAAACAAATGTACCCAAAAACAGTGAAATTAATGATATTTATACATGAAGGTTTTGATCAGCAAAATGTCTTCGTTTCTCCCGTAACAACACTTGTATTTTCTGAATGATAGCTTTGGTAGTTTTGGAAGTTTCCTCCCCATCCTATAAAACTGTCTTGAGATTTATATTGAAAATTCTGATTTTGGTGTTTGTTGATAGTTGATTAGAGTTCCAGATGTGCGATTGCAGAAATGCTGACCATGCCTTGCTGATACACCTGGCTCGTTTATGATGATGCCCAGATATATAAAGGTTTTCACACCTTCCATAGCTTCTCCAAATAGCGTGATTTGGTTGGCGCATGTTGTGTTTTATCGTAGAATCTTGCTTTTCCCTTTATGTATATTGAGACCCGCTGCTGCTGAAGTTGTTACTGCGCTGGTTGTCTTCTCTTGCATTTGTTGTTGCACGTGCGATAGAAGAGCCAGATGTTCCGTGAAGTCCAGATCATCCAGCTACATCCTGATTATCCACCGTATCTCGTGCTTCCGTCCAGATGTCGATGTCTTCATAATCTAGTCGATCAAAAGGAGAAGGAGGAAGGGTGAGAGTATTCAACCATGCCTGATACCAGTCTTTACTTCGAAAGAATCTATCAGCTTTCCTCCATGTTTGACTTCGCAGTTTAATCCATCGTAAGATTTTGTATGATGCTGACTATCTTCTCAGGCACGCCGTAGTTTCGAAGAAGCCTCCATAGTGTTTTCCTATCCACGCTATCAAATGCTTTCTCGTAGTCAATGAAGTTAATGTAGAGTAGTGAGTTTTATCCGCAATGTTTCAATTTGATCATTACAGCCTGATGATATCAAATTTGGGCGTCTACGAAATCCTTCTTTCTGTTTAGCATCACCCTGTTGAAGACTGTGACTGATATTAAGAGTAGAGTGTTTCCTCTGTAGTACTCACATTAGCTGACCTTGCCTTTCTTTGTTATTTTGATCAGGTATCCTTGTTTCTAGTCTGATAGTACTTGTTCTTCATCCCGAAATATTTTTTTCAGTTGCTACAGCGTCTGCTTTCATTGCCTCTAATGCAATGTTGGCCGATTTGGTTCTGAGTTATATGTTCCGGTGAAGTCCATGTAGCCTTATATATGCTTTTGTGTGTGAATTTAGAGCAGCTGATGACCAGTTTGTTGAAGACAGAGAGGTCTGCGAATCTCTCACCTCTTTCGTTCCTTTTTCTCAGTCCATGTCCTTCCATGATGTCTTCAGATCCAGTACTGTCCATGACAGCCTTGGCATCTAGGTCTCCCATTAAAATAGTCAAATCCTTTGGTGAGCATCTATCGACGAATGACTGTAGCTTTACGAAGAACTGATCTTTAGTGTCGTCGTTGTAGTCGTTGGTAGGTGCATAGCATTGGATGATGTTTATTTTAATGCCCTCTTTCTTTGTTCTGAAGAATGCTTTAATAATTCTGGGTCCATA